TACAGAATGTCTGCATCTGAATTGTTAGAGTTGAAGAAGCAATTAGAAGAGTTACTTGAGAAGAAGTTTGTAAGACCAAGTGTATCGCCGTGGGGAGCTGCAATGTTGTTATTAAAGAAGAAAGATGGAAGTATGAGGCTTTGTGTTGATTATAGACAGCTGAATAAAGTGACGATTAAGAACAAGTATCCGCTTCCAAGAATAGATGACTTGATGGATCAATTAGTGGATGCTCGTGTGTTTAGTAAGATTGATCTGAGGTCAGGTTACCATCAGATTAAAGTGAAGGATGAAGATATTCAGAAGACGGATTTCAGGACGCGTTATGGACATTACGAGTATTCGGTGATGCCTTTCGGTGTTACCAATACACTGGGAGTATTCATGGAATATATGAATCGTATCTTTCATACTTATTTGGATCGGTTCGTAGTGGTGTTCATTGATGATATTTTGATTTACTCTAAGACAGAAGAAGAGCATGCTGAACATTTAAGAGTAGTATTGCAAGTTTTGAAAGAGAAGAAGTTGTATGCAAAGTTGTCCAAGTGTGAATTTTGGCTGAAAGAGGTTAGTTTTCTTGGTCATGTGATTTCAGGTAGTGGCATTGTTGTAGATCCATCGAAGGTTGATGCTGTGTTGCAATGGGAAACTCCAAAGTCAGCTACTGAGATTAGAAGCTTCTTGGGATTAGTTGGTTATTATAGAAGGTTTATCGAAGGATTTTCTAAGTTGTCACTTCCGTTGACTGAGTTGACTTGTAAAGGTATAGCGTTTGTATGGGATGTTCAATGCAAAGAAAGTTTTACAGAATTGAAGAAGAGGTTGACGTCGTCTCCGATTTTGACGTTACCTAATCCAGGAGAGCCTTTTGTGGTGTATTGTGATGCTTCTAAGATGGCTTTAGGAGGTGTGCTTATGCAGAATGGTAAGGTAGTTGCTTATGCGTCAAGGCAGTTAAGGACTCGTGAGAAGAACTATCCTGCGCATGATTTAGAACTTGCTGCAGTTGTTTTTGTGTTGAAGATTTAGAGGCATTATCTTTATGGTTCTAGGTTTGAAGTGTTTAGTGACCATAAGAGCTTGAAGTATTTGTTTGATCAGAAGGAGTTGAATATGAGGCAACGAAGATGGTTGGAATTGTTAAAGGACTATGATTTCGATTTGAATTATCATCCAAGAAAAGCGAATATGGTAGCCGATGCATTGAGTCGAAAGACTTTACATATGTCAGCAATGATGATTAAAGAGTTGGAATTGATTGAGCAGTTCAGAGATATGAGCTTAGTTTGCGAGGTTACTCCGCAGAGTGTTATGTTGGGTATGTTGAAGATTAATAATGAATTTTTAGACAGTATCAGAGAAGCTCAGAAGTTGGACGTGAAACTGGTAGATTTGATGGTTGGGATTGACCAGTCTGAGAATAATGATTTTAAGCTAGATGCGCATGGTGTGTTGAGATTTCATAACTGGATTTGTATTCCTGATGATGCTGAGATGAAGAAGGTGATACTTGAAGAAAGTCATAGAAGTAAGTTGAGTATTTATCCAGGAGCTACAATGATGTATCAAGATTTGAAAGGTTTGTTTTGGTGGCCTGGGATGAAGAGTGACGTGGCTCGGTTTGTGTATGCATGTTTGACTTGTCAGAAGTCGAAAGTTGAACATCAGAAGCCTGCATGATTGATGCAACCGTTGGAAGTTCCAGAATGGAAATGGGATAGCATTTCAATGGACTTTGTGACGAGGTTGCCTAATACTTTAAGAGGGAATAATTCGATTTGGGTGATTGTTGATAGGCTTACGAAGTCATCTCATTTTATTCCTATTAACATCAGTTTTCCAGTGCCGAAGTTGGCTGAGATTTATATCAGTGTGATTGTGAAGTTGCATGGTGTTCCTTTGTGCATTGTGTTAGATAGAGATCCAAGATTTACTTTTGATTTTTGGAAGAGTTTGCAAGTAGCGTTGGGTTCTAAGTTAAGGTTGAGTTCAACGTATCATCCTCAGACATATGGTCAGACTGAACGGACTATTCAATCGTTAGAAGATTTGCTGAGGGCATGTGTTCTTGAGCAGGGAGGTTCGTGGGATACTTATCTTCCTTTGATATAGTTCACGTATAATAACAGTTACCATTATAGTATTGGGATGACACCTTTTGAAGCGTCGTATGGTCGAAGATGTAGAACTCTGTTATGTTGGCATGAATTTGGTGAAAGTGTAGTACTTGGACCTGAACTTGTTCGTGAGACTACTGAGAAGGTGAAGTTGATTTGAGAAAAGATGAAAGCTTCACAAAGTAGACATAAGAGTTATCATGACAAGCGAAGGAAATATTTAGAATTCCAAGCTAGTGATCATGTGTTTTTGAGAGTTACACCTGTGACTGGTGTTGGGCGAACGTTGAAGTCTAAGAAGCTCACTTCTCGTTTTATTAGACCGTATCAGATTTCAGAGAGAGTGGGGAATGTTGCTTATAGAGTGGCTTTACCGCCTAATCTTTCAAATTTTCATGATGTGTTTCACGTGTCGCAACTTCAGAAGTATATTTCAGATCCATCTCATGTGATTCATATGGACGATGTGCAAGTACGGGATAATCTTACGGTGGAGACGATGCATGTACAGATCGCATATCGTGAAATGAAGACTCTGAGGGACAGAGAGATTGCTTTGGTTAAAGTGGTTTGGCTAGGAGCGGCTGGTGAAAGCATGACTTGGGAGTTGGAGAGCAAGATGCGAGACTCATATCCTGAATTGTTTGATTGAGGTAAATTTTCGAGGACGAAAATATTCTAAGTGGGGGAGAGTTGTAACGCCCGTAATTTAATTAATTATTTAATTAAATTATTTTTGGAATATTTAAGAAGTTGTATTATAATTAATTGGATTTATTTTATTAAGTGGAGAAATAATATTAGAGATATAATATTATGTGGTGAAATAATATTAGAAGTGTAGTATTATTTAATGTGGGCTTATTTTGAAGGAATAGAAGTAATAAGGGGGTGTATTGGTTTTAAGCCCATTAAAGAATAATAGAATAATAGAGTTATTTTATTATTTGTTAGAAGGAATAGAAAGAAAGAAGCAGTAGAAAGAATAAGGATTTGGAAGAGAACGTGCAAGCTGCTAGAGAAAGTGGAAAACGGCAAGAACGAGAATTCAACCAGAAATTGTAGAGCGGCCTTCAATCCAAGGTAAGGGTGGGGTTCTAAATCTATAATTGGGTTTATGATGATTGGTATGTGGGGTTAGTGGTTATTGTTGTCTTGTTCTTGAATTGAGGATATATGATTGATGTATGATGAGAATTGATGAATTTTTGATGAATATTGATGTCTTGATGCTGTTAAAATGCTGTAAGATTATAGGGCTATTATGGGTGATGAATTGACATGATTATATTAAGTTCTAGGGCTTTAGTTATGGAACCTTAGTGAGATGCAGTGATAGAAATCGTTGAATATAGCAGTTATAAAAACGCAGAGTCGTACGTGGAGGATATCAGAAGTTACTGTCTAGAACAATGAATCAATTAGGGATGGCGTTAGGCGTACTATTCTTAATTAGGTTGATAACAGGCAAGAATCAAAATAGTAGGATGAAATAAAAAGTAGCAATTCTGACATTAGAAGTATGTTGATAAGAGTTGCGTCAGATTAGTGCAAGATAGAAGTTCTGATGTTATACATATGTTAGTTAGAAGTTGCGTTGCACTGTTAAAGAATAGAGGTTATGCTAGTATAAGTTGTATTAATCAGAAGACGTGGCTAGTCAGAAGTTGTATTGTTCAGAAGATGTGGTTAGTCAGAAGTTGTATTAATCAGAAGATGTGGCTAGTCAGAAGTTGTATTAATTAGAAGATGTGGTTAGTCAGAAGTTGTGTTGGTCAGAAGATGTGGTTAGTCAGAAGTTGTATTAATCAGAAGATGTGGCTAGTCAGAAGTTGTATTAATCAAAAGATATGGTTAGTCAGAAGTTGTACTAGTCAGAAGATGTGGTTAGTCAAAAGTTGTATTAATCAGAAGGTGTGGCTAGTCAGAAGTTATATTTGTCAGAAAACAGGATTAGTCAGAAGATTGTGTCGGCCAGAAGTTGCGTTATTAGAAGCTGTATTATTAGAAGTTGGGTTAGTTAGAAGTTGTGTTGTTAGAAGTTGGGTTGGTTAGAAGCTGTGTTGTTAGAAGTGTTCTGGTCAGAAGTTGCGTTTGACGTTAAAATTGGTTTTGTACAGAATGGTGAATGTAGATGCTTAGAAGCTGCTGTTTGAGCTATAAAAGTAGGAAAGTGACGATCTTGACGTTAGAATTACAGAATGACAATGTTGATTTACTGTGGAAATTAAAATACTGCTGTGTTGTTAATGAGAAGTTATTAATAATATTGTGTGGATGATTTATAATAAATAAATGACGTTTGATAAATTATTTTGATGATCTGAGATGTTGATTATTTGAGATGTTTTTGAGATGTTCATTTGAGATGTCTTTGAGATGTTGTTTTGAGATGTTAATTTGAGATGTCTTTGAGATGTTGTTTTTGAGATGATAATTTGAGATGCTTTGAGATGATAATTTGAGATGTTTTTGAGATGATTTGAGATGTTGTTAACTTGGGTGTTATTATTACATTCATGGTTGTGTCGCATACATTGCATTTTTGAGATGGAGTTTATGCTCGTTGAGATGGCCTGGATTGACAAATTTTGAGATGAAGGCTATGCCTTGTTGATGCCTCTATTAATTGGATTTTTTTTGAGATGAGAGTTCTGCTCAAATGGTACCACATGCATTTGCATAGTATTGAGTCAAATTATATGATTTCATAAAGAAGTGTATTTTGATGAATGTATATTATTGTTGAGATTGTCGTTTATTTTGAGATGAGAAGTGGTGATGTTGTTGATCTAATTTAATATATTAATTGTCATGCGCTTTATTATATTGTTAGATATCTCACCCCTTCTGTTTGAATATTGCCCCTATGTTGATAACATGCAGGTAATCGAGAGTGAATGCTGTACACCTTCAATAGTTCGAATCGGTGTCATTGCTCTGATATGTAACACTCGGGGGAGGGGGGGGGGGGGGGGGGGGGAGATGAACGTTTGTTGATTTTTGATCGTTTATTTTCAATTGTTGAATTTTAATTTGATTATCCTTAAATATGAGATGTTTCGAAGTTGCTATTTTGTTAGAGATGTTATTAAGAATTCCGCTGCGTAGATGTTGATTTATTTGATTAAAGATGTTATGTTGATGGTTCATCCGATGTTTGAAAAAGTGTTATATATCCACGATGAATGCAATGAATTTTGATAGAAGAATTTGTGACGTCCCGATTCGTTTGTATGATTGAATTTTATAACTCTGATTTATTTATATAATTGCCGGGGTAGAATTGGGGTGTTACAAACAACATGGACATTAACAAATAGCTCAAAGGGGTTAACAAATGATCAAACACTCACAAGGTGGATTGACTATTTGGTTAGGTAGTTGTGCTCAAAATGAAACAAAATGCCTTATCATTTTTATGCTTTTATACAATCAACACAAACAAAAGATTAAACATAATGAATTCCAATTTAAAAAAGAATTGTGACCTCCAACATATATGAAAAACGAAAAGCTTACTCACATTTGGGGTAAAAAGGAAACTAAGTGATTCAAATCATGTTGAAAAACCAGCACAATTTCATGTATAGCATGAGAACAGTAACTCCGATTTGTGCACGGTTGGAAGCGTTGAAAAGCTTATTCAATGCTCTATCTAACAAAAATGAGATAAAAATAATTAAACACAATAATATTTACACGATAACATAATATATACACTATAACATAAATTATACTGAATATACACTAAAATTGAGGTTTATTGATAAAAAACAAACGAATTAAGTCGATGAATACTAATTATTCACACTCAAATTCACAACAATTTAGCACTCATAAATGTTGAGTTTCTTGATAACTTTTAATACATCATTCATAATTTTAATCTAGAAGTATTATTGAGCATATCAAGAAGTACAAAAGGAGATTGATGTAACTCTGAAAGATATTCCAAATGAAACTAAGGTTGTATGTCAATCGTCAAGAAAGAGAAATCAAGTTGCCTCTGAAGATCTCAAGAAGGATCAGAAGCCACCAAAGAAGAAAGTTGTGGCATTTAAGGATGTTCAAAAGGAAATAAAGGAAGTTGTATCCTCTTCTGTCTTGATGTCTACTAAGACAAGAAGTGGAGCAACGCCTCAAAAGGTTGTTTACTTCTTTTGTTTGCTCTTATGAAGAAGAAGAAATTAAGAAAAATGATATTCCCTGAATAATAAGAGGAATAGGTTCAACCTCTAGAAAATAAGATCAAAGAAGTGAAGTAAAAGGCTCAAGATCTGCTGATAGAGTATGTGAAAAAGGGATCGAAAAGGCTGACATCTGGTCTTAAGTACAAGGCTGCCGCAAATCCATCAGATGCTGAGATTTTTAATCAACAAATAAAAGAATTTGAAGCTACAACCAAAGCTTTTTTGAGGAAAGACGATGGATCTTATGTTTTTCAACCAACTGGTTCAGATGTTGAAGATAAGGAAGAAACTACTGCAGAAAGTACTTTTGAACAAGATGCTAAAACTGTTTCAGAACCTACTGCTGTAACTAATGTCACATTTATGTCTCTACACCCTGTCTCTGGAAAAAATATAGATTCTTTCACTCCCCTTAACCACATATCACCAACCCCTTACCTAAACAATCATCTGAATATACTCTGTCAGAAACTATCATACCTTTTTATTACTCAGATTCCCTAACCATTGCTCAGGTTCTGGATACTTTTAATGCATCATCTTTACTAGATGATCTGTCTAGACATATTGGTAATGATTTTATTTCAGAACATAACCATCCAATGTCTTAATCAGAACCTGGGCTATCTACACGCAGAACACCATGACTGATCCTGATCAGATCATGGAACTTATCCTAGAAAATCATGACAACTTTCAATAACACATCATTTCCTTAACCAGTCCCAAATCAACCTCATCCTCTAGCTCCGATTCTTCATAATCAAAGATTTTACACTCTCTCTCCAAACCTCTCTAATCTATTCCTACTGTAACTAAACCTCAACCTAATCTTGTCTAGTCTCAATCAGAAGTCCAATCTTTGTCTGAACTTCAGTTTGGAACTAAGCAAGACATCCAAGCTCAATTCCACTCAGAAGTCATCCAAGACTAGTTTGTTCAAAATCATCATGAAACTGATATTGAAAAAATCAACCTAGACCTAACTAATCTTGTACCTGAACCCTCTCAGACCCTTCTTGACCAAACTGTAGATGAACCACAATCCAAACCTCTTCATGGCCCTTATTCAGTAGAGAATGCGTCTAGAACTAAATCAATACCAATTCCTTTCTATGAAGAGATAGCCTCACCTAAACCTTTAACTCCTAATAAGTTTGTCCTTCAACCCTTCATTCCCTTATTCAGAACCATGTGGAAGAATATATAACTATTCTCTTTGATAAAATGCATGAATTAGTTGTTGAGAGAATCACATCATCTGACTCTGAGGTTTATGCTTCTAAATGGGATTCTCTCACAACCTATGTGGTCTCAGTTCTATAGAAGTTGAAAAATCCCTCTTCTGAATCTGTAGCCTCATCTAGTCAGAGACAAGAGCAATTAGAAGCTAAATTGGCTTCTATTGTTGGCACTCAAGAAGTCATGGCTGCTAAGCAAGATGTGATGGAAGATCAGTTGAAGAATGTGATTACAAGACAAGATGAAATGAGTTCTGATTTGAAAGCTGTCTTGGAAATTCTGAAGCAAAACCCTAGGTTTTAGGATTTTAGCAAACCTTTTATTTTGTCTTGTCAATTTTTTTATAACTATGCTTTTATTGCAAAATCATAAATTTTTTTATTAATGAAATATTTTTCTTCAATATGTTTTCCTTCTTCTATTTATTTCTTTTTATTGATGACAAAAGTGGGAGTAGGAGCATATGTATTTAATCATCCGAATCTGATTGATTGATATTATTTATTGCTTAAATTTTAAAGAATTTATTATTGTTCTTAAAGGATAAATTTAATTAAACTGGATAGGACTAAGGGGAGCTTACAAAACTCATCCTTAGGACTATTAGACTCAAGGGAAGCTTACAAACCTCAGACCCTAAAGTCAGCATGTTAATTAAATCAACAACCAATTTTCTTAATTACTTGTGTTTGTCATCATCAAAAGAGGGTAGTGTGTTGGAACAAAATTGGTTTATATCACATCCCTTAGGTTTTAATGATACCAAAAGTATTTAAATAACTATTGGATAGAGTAATGTGTGTTCAAGTTTACAGATACAAAAGCTATTCTTCTACTTGAAAGTCAGTTCTGATACTACACTAAACCTTCAAAGAGAAGTTCTAAAAGAGGTAAATTCTAAAGACCAGTCTCTGAAAAATCATTTTTTGATCAAGCTAGGTTGTGATGATCAGAACCTGAAGACTCTAGGCTCTGATCAGATCATCATTTGAAGAACAAGTCAACCTCTGAAGACCCAGAGTCTGAAGGATCAGAAGCTAAGACTCAGACTCTGAATGATCATAATCTGAAGTCAATCAAAACTTAAGAACCAATGAATTTCTGACAAGTTGCTATTAGAAATTGAGGTCAATTTGTCTTCTACTAGTCATGAGAAAACTTAGCAGAGAGTTGTAGAAGCATGAAGAATTGCAACTGATAATACCTTTTTATAGAAAAGGAGTTTCAAATTGCCTTACAACGACATTAACCATTTCCAGATGCTTTGCAACAGATTTGTTGATGATTCTCTCAAAGACTCACTTGTACAAGATGTCTTCTCCAACGACTCTTTCATGGTTCTCTATATAAGGAGTTGAGGACTTGAAGAAACATACAACATTGCACCTTGACAAGAAAAGAGAAGTTACTATGTCAAAACAAAAAGCACAAGTTAACTTAGAACTTCTTCTCAATTGTACATTCTTAGAAGTTCTTAAGTCTTATAGTTTTATGTGCTGAATTTTATTTACACCTCTGATTGTATATCAAGTGTAATTATCTCACTATCACTACTATTTATCTGCTAGATAGATTGTAGGAAGCCTCTTGATTATGTGCTTGAGAATTTGGAAGTATTTTGCTTGTGTGCTTGAGCATTGAAGTCTCTTGCCTGGGTGCTTGAGCAATTGGAAGTCTCTTGCTTGTGTGCTTGAGCATTGAAGTCTCTTGCACGTGTGCTTGAGAAACTAGAAGTCTCTTGCTTGTATGCTTGAGCAACTGAAAGTATCTTGCTTGTGTTCTTGACTATTGAAGTCCCTTACTTGTGTGTTTGGGTATTTGAAGTCTCTTGCTTGGGTGTTTGAGTAATTTGTAATCAGATTTGGTTATAGTGAAAATCTCTTGGAAGTGCAAAGCGAATGGACTATGCTTGATTTGTAAAAGGAACCAAGATAATTGCTTATGTGTTTTCTTTGCTCTCTTATTTATTTCTGATCAACTTTATCTACTGCTATCACAATCAAACTCAGACTTTGATTATGTCTTTGTGATCAGAATCTGATAAGAGATTTGTAAGAGAAAAAAGAGAAAAAGTTAACACAATTCAACTCCACTTCTTGTGTTTTTCTCACCTTCATAAAGTCCTCCAAGAAAACAAACATGTAGATAATCTTTCAATTTAGATCCATGTAAGGGTGAAGTTATTCACTGAAGTCCTTCAAGAAAGTAAACATGTAATTAGTCCATCAAGCGTAAGTCGTGTAAGGGCGAAGTGATTTCATGGAACAGGGTAGCAATTAATTGGCGTGTCTCGACAAATATATTTTTCGGGCGAGCTCTTCCTTATTTCTCAAAATGTGGTGGTCTTGGTTTGTAGTCGACCGATGTCTAATGGTTGTTTGACTATTTCACTTCACCCTCACTGTGATGATGACCAACTCTCTTGGGAATATGAGCCATTCATGACCTACTCTATTTCATCCGACTCTAATTAGATAACCATAAATGCAATCGTCATTTTTCTACCATTCAAATCTTATTAAATGATTGTCTATGCTCCCATCTTTTCTTTTCAACTCATAAACTCTCACCAAGCTTCTTTGTGCCATTCTTTGTTCCAAGTTTCAAGTTTTCGACAAAGCTCACAAAGTCAGGTAACACCATATTTCTTCAGTGTCTTTTCTTTCTTCTTTCGTGGTGTTTATTCAGGAGTATGACTCATCAGAGAGGGTTATAGAGCCTCGAAATGATGTTGAGGTGTGCGAGTTTTGGAATATATGCTTGCAAATTTCGAGACTGGATACATGGAGAGTAGATTGGAGATTCGTAGAATGTAGCTCATTGGAAGTTATGAGAACCCGTCTAGTGTATTTCTAAGGACGGGTCACGAAACTTACTTAGAGTCTTCTTCTTTAGGTCTGACTAAATTTGTCATAGGGCGCATAATATTGAACCCAAGTGCTTCATGTTAAGAGGTCGTGAATATTGGCTAGATTTTCCTAAAAAAATGATTGGATTCAAGCCTTCCTGCTATACAAGTTTGATCTCTGCTTGGGGTATAATGAACAACACAAAACAAAAACTTTTTTTTACTTTTTTATTTTTGAAATTTTTATTTATATTTAACATGATTCAAATATGACATCTTGGGAGAAACACACTTTCATATCCAAATCTCCACCATTAAACCAAATGTTGGAAAAGTTTATCAAGAAAGAGAATGTTTATCATATTAACTACTTTTTTTTTAATCTACACTCGTTGAGTTAACTTAATAGTTTAGTGAATTGAGCCTATGAATTTGTATCCCAATCTACCAGCTTGATATACTCACATTTCAAAAACTAGTTCAATGGTGGTCAAGTTTTACCAGATTAATTCAATGTCTAAACAATCCTTATAGCCTCATACAAGACAAGAAGAACAACAAGAGCAAAAACTGGAAAACCATTGTAACCATTTCACGTGCCACTTTCATTGAAACAGTTTGTCGTTATTGTTACACTGTCACACCCTTTTTGTGGTCATGTTTTGCATCAAAGAAATGGCCAAACGAGAAGACTTATACACAAATCTATTACGAGGATACGTTCAAGACTCAAACTTTCTGAAAGCAACAGCAATTCACGCTCAATTCATCAAAGGGTCTATCCCTTTTACCATTTTTCTTCAAAACCATTTACTCAACATGTATATCAAAACCCGAGACCTTACTTCTGCACTCCAACTGTTTGATGAAATGCCATATAGAAACGTGGTCTCATGGTCTGTTGTCCTGGCTGGTTGCATTCGTAACGGCTGTTCCTCAGAAGCTCTTTCTTTGTTCACCAGTATGCACCGCGAGGGAGTCACAAAACCGAATGAGTTTACCTTTGTGAGTGCTCTCCAAGCTTCTTCGTTAACCGAGAATGAGACGTGGGCTTACCAGATTTATTCGTTAGTGGTTCGGTCGGGACTTGAGTCTAATGTCTTTTTGCTTAACGCGTTTTTGACAGCCTTAGTTAGGCATGGTAAATTGACTGAAGCCTTGAGGATTTTTGAGATAAGTCCTATTAGAGATATTGTGACATGGAATACTATGATAGGGGGTTACTTGCAGTTTTCTTGTGAGCGGATTCCAGTGTTTTGGCGCTATATGATTTGTAAGGATGTGAGGCCGGATGAGTTCACTTTTTCCAGTGCTTTAACGGGATTGGCTGCTATCTCGTATCTTGAAATGGGAATGCAGGTTCATGCGCACCTTGTTAAAAGTGGTTACGGAGATGATATTTGTGTAGGGAACTCTTTAGTTGATATGTATATAAAAAATCAAAAGTTGGAGGAGGGTTTCAAAGCTTTTGATGAGATGCCTAACAAAGATGTATGCTCGTGGACACAAATGGCGGATGGGTGTTTACGGTGGGGGGAACCAAGAAAGGCGCTTGCGGTCATTGCACAAATGAAGAAAATGAGTGTCGAGCCAAATAAATTTACCTTGGCAACTGCTCTAAATGCTTGTGCTTGTTTGACTTCATTGGAGGAAGGGAAACAGTTTCATGGCTTGAGGATCAAACTTGGAAGTGACGTTGATGTTTGTGTTGATAATGCTCTTCTTGATATGTATGCAAAATGTGGATGCATGGATAGTGCACGTGCACTTTTTCGATCGATGAATTCTCGTTCTGTCATCTCATGGACAACAATGATAATGGCGTGTGCACAGAATGGTCAATCCAGAGAAGCTCTTCAAATTTTTTATGAAATGAAGGAAACGAGTGTAGTACCAAATTACATCACATTCATTTGTGTTCTTTATGCATGTAGTCAAGGTGGGTTTGTTGATGAAGGGTGGAAGTATTTTTCCTCCATGAATAATGACTATGGAATCTTTCCCGGAGAAGATCACTACATTTGCATGGTGAGTATCCTAGGCCGGGCTGGGCTTATCAAAGAGGCTAAGGAGTTAATCTTACGAATGCCATTTCAACCTGGTGTGCGGGTTTGGCAAACATTGCTCAGTGCTTGTCAGGTTCACGGAGATGTAGAGACTGGGAAACTTGCAGCAGAACATGCAATAAAACATGACAAAAATGACCCGTCATCCTATGTATTATTGTCTAATATGTTGGCTGAATCAAGCAATTGGGATGGTGTGGTGAGTCTGAGAGAACTAATGGAAATAAGGAATGTAAAGAAAGTACCAGGATCAAGTTGGATTGATATTGAAAAGATTTAAATATCAGGAATACATGGTTGAAGGAGAAGTTGTTTAGAGGAATCTCTGTCCTTCCTTTTGTTGTTTGTGATATATCCGATTAGTTTATATATAGAGCGAGATATATTAATATACATACCTCGTCCTCGGAAAGTAGTATGTGCATTGCACAAATAGAAGCTGAACTTTGTTGGAATGTTTTCACTTTTTGGATGTTATTTTGTCCATCTTAATTTTTGTAACATATTTTGTTTGTATCTTAAGAATTCATCATTCTTGATAGCTAGGATGAAATACTGTCTACTGCTCAAGTCTGGCATGTAAGTTATGAGTTATAAGGACTCTGATTCGTGAGGTTAGAGAGAAAACAAACAATTATGCAGTCAAAAGATACAATTGAATTCACTCTGTAACATTTTCTATTGGGGAATCATGTGGAAGTTCTTGCAATAAAATTAAGAAAACAAAAAGAATCAAACAATTATATGGAATATAGTTCATGAGAAGCGACCAAATTCTTGGAAATCTCAAATATAAGCCTGGCCTCAAATGCATCACCAGAATAACCTTTAGAAGACCTTTGACGAGTCTTTGGAATCTGTTTCACACCAAACTTGTTATCAGTGTTCAAGGCCCCTCCTACATTACCAGCCAACTTCAACATAAACTTCATATAAATATTCTTAACCTTTCTCACCAACTTCAATGGTGATCTTATCATCCATCTCAGCTTTGGACTTGTTCTGATCCTCCAATCTCTATGTGGACCTCTCATCCGTATGATCTGCATCTTCTTCCGTTGGCCGGTGCTGGTTGTGCCATAGTCTAGACGCTGGTAGCCCCTTTTGCTTAAGTATCTCTTTATGTCCATATTTTTAATAGGTGGAACTTAGAGAAGGTGGTGGTGAATGAGGATGAAGTCTAGGATGGTTTTCTCACTTTATATGAATGAATAAAGATTGTTGCTTGAGTTAACTATGCTATTCTTATTGGACTATATATATGAGAGAAATTATTTAAAAAGTACCATGTTTAATTTGGTCAAAACATAGCAATCACATACATAACATAATTGTGCATTATAAAAGATATAGAAATGGCTACCTTTGACAAGTAAAGTCAACAAACAACAGTTTGACCCGGGATAATGCATAGTATGCGCAAGTGAACAAATCGTTCTTTCCTTTCTTGAAAAGTTTTCTCTCTTTAATACTATCAACACTCCACATTTAAACAAATGAGTTTGCATTCTCTCCTTCTAGATAGATGCTTTGCGTTTTTTTTCATTTGTTTTTCAAATTGAAGTTTCCTATCAAAACTATATTATTAGGATTTCTACAATTAAAAAAATAAATAAAAAACACTAAAATGATAAAATAGAATAAAAGAAAATAAAGACTTTTTCATTTAATTGGTTGATATTCTTTAATATTTTATAGAGACTATATATAATAGTCAAATGGATAACAAATTTAAAAGTCCAAATACTAATAAGAGTCCAATAACAAATCTATCGACTAATAATATGAACTCTAATATACCTCTCTATCAATAATAATATTAATAACTAATATTATAAATTATATTATACTCTTCTATCATTGTCGTCGGATTTACTTAAACCTTGTCCTCAAGGTTCTAAAATCAATATGAGAATAAAAATATTGTTTCTGGATCACATTACTTGAATGACAAATTGACACTGATTATTTGCGACACAAATTTCAAAATTTGAAAAATCAATTTCCTCATGTAAGATGGTGTAGTAGAAATCTTCCATATGCTGCATGTAAGCACTGTTATGTTATTATTAATATTATTATTAATTGTTATTTGCTATATGTAACTGACTTAGTCTCTATTGATCGTGAGAGGATCATGGTTGTTAGTTTTAATTATGCCTAAATTGTAGGGAGTCAAGTATGACTTAGTGGCCCAGATTCTTAGAAAACATTCAGTTCAGTTTTCTTTTTGTAAGCTATTTATATAGCAGTATTTCATTCTAATAAAGAAGTCAGTTACCAGATTTGCTAACATCAGGTATCTGAGCAAGAAAGACATAAAAAGTGTGAGGGATCCAAAAGTGTGAGAGTACCACAAAATAGAGTATTTGGGGCATGGGATCTGAAAAGAAGAATGGTGGATTTTCTGTACCTTCCATTCCCAACTTCGATGGAGATTACGATCATTGGAAGATGGTCATGGAAAATCTCTTGAGATCCAGAGAATATTGGCTTGTGGTGGAGAACGGTTACATGTTGCCCAAAGAAGGAGAAATGCAGACAGATGCGCAGAGGTAGAACCTGAATGAATTGAAACTTAAGGATTTGAAGGCCAAGAATTATTTGTTCCAATCCTTGGACAAATCAATTCTGAGAACCATCACCAAGAAGGACACCTCCAAGCAGTTGTGGGACTCCATGAAGATGAAGTACCAAGGAAATGATCGGGTCCGACGTGCTCAGCTTAATCGACTCCGACGAGAATTCGAGGTGTTGGCTATGAAACAAGGGATGTCAGTCAATGACTACTTCGGTAGGGTGATGACCATAGCTAATGACATGCGAAATTGCAGTGAAGACATGACAGGTGTCAAAATCGTAGAGAAAATTCTGCGAACACTGACGGAGAAATGGAATTACATTGTGTGTTCCATTGAGGAAGCTAATGATGTTGATGAAATCACAGTTGATGCCTTACAAAGTTCCCTCTTGGTCCATGAACAAAAGTTCAAGAGGGAACCAAATGAAGAACAAGCGCTGGCGGTTTCTTATGGTGACACCGGTGGTCGAGGGAGAGGGAGAAACAACTTCAGAGGAGGAAGAGGCCGTGGACGAGGCCGTCAAATCTACAACAAAGAAACAATTAAATGTTATAAATGCCACCAATTAAGGCATTTCCAATATGAATGCCCTAATCTCGAGAAGACGGTTAATTATGTTGAGATGAGCAAGGATGAAGAGATGCGTCTTATGGATTATATTGAAGCATCAGGGGAAAAAGGAGAGATTGCATAGTTCTTAGACAGCGGGTGCAGCAACCACATCAGCGGATATCTCTCTCTCTTTTGTACCATGGAGGAAGAGTTCAAAAGAGAAGTCAGTCTAGGGAACCATATGAAGATGGAGGTTGTGGGCAAAAGGAGTGTTAGGTTAAATCTTGGCGGTGTTTGTTATGTCGTTCAAGAAGTGTTCTATATTCCAGAATTGAAGAACAATTTACTAAGTATCGGATAACTGCAGGAGAAAGGCTTGGCCTTTCTAATCAAGAACAATGAGTGCATAATCTATCATCCATTAAAGGCCTTATCCTTGAAAGCAGAATGAAACTCAACAAAATGTTCATGTTGCTCTCGAAGACCTCCTTGGCTACCAATGAGTCAAATGAATGTTGCTTCCAAACTGACATCCAAGAAATTGCTCATCTATGGCACTGCAAGTATGGCCACCTTTGCTATACTGGACTTCAAACTTTGACAAGCAACAACATGGTTAAAGGCTTGCCAAATCTTGGAGAAATCATTGATGCTAGAGAAACTACTGTTGTATGCATTGAGTGTTTGAAAGGAAAACAACACAGGGAGATCATACCAAGAAAAGCCATATGGAGAGCTGAAGCCCGATTGGAGCTTATACATGCCGACATATGTGGTCCCATCTCGCCAATGTCACATGGTCAAAAAAGGTAACTCATCTATTTCATTGAAGGCTTTAGTAGGAAGGCTTGGGTATATTTTATTGCTTATAAGAGTGATGCATTTTCTACATTCAAGCAATTTAAAAGTTGGGTAGAAAGGGAGTCTGTTTTATTCGTGAAATGCTTGAGAACTGATCGTGGAGGTGAGTTTACCTCACATGAGTTTACTGATTATTGTAGACAAGAAGGGATAAAAAGACAAATCACCACAACCTACATGCCACAATAAAACCGGAGTGCCAAAAGGAAAAACCAAACTGTCATGAACATGGCCAAAAGTTTACTTGTCAAGAAGGAAGTGCCTAAAATCTTCTGGCCTGAAGCGATTAATTGGGCATTCCATGTGCTTAACACGAGCCCCACCTCTGCCGTAAAAGGAATGACTCCTGAAGAGGCCTGGTATGGAGCGAAGCCCACAGTCGAGCACTTCAGAGTTTTTGGTTGCATTGCTCATGTCCACATTCCAGATGCTCGAAGAGTCAAGCTTGACGACAAGAGCACTAAATGTGTTTTATTTGGAGTAAGTGTTGAGTCGAAGGGATATAGGTTATATGATCCCATTAAAAGAAATATCATTGTTAGCAGGGAAAGTCGTGTTCGAAGAAAATAAGACATGGGATTGGAATACAAGTCACTCAGAGTTCGATAAAGATAAGCTTGATTGTCGAGATATGGATACTACTATTGTTGACCAAGAGAGTGATACAGTGACACCACAAGATTAATCAGAGCACGAAGAAGCCATCGAGTACAGTGGAGATACAAGTCACTCAACAATCGAGAATGAGGAGCTTGAGAATGCAGTTGGGACTGAGATTGCTACTGAGGATGATAATGTAGTAGCTACAACAGAAAAATCTGCAGCAGTAGGCCAACGTAGCAGAAGAGCTCCAAGATGGATGGAGGATTATGTGGTGAACTCTGTTGTCTCAAACTCTGATGTGGCAGCAAGTTTTAACCCCCAATCCTTTGAGGAAGCTGTGCTAAATACCAACTTGAAGGAAGCTATGGATGCTGAAATTCAGTCCATCGAAAAGAATGGAACCTAGACTCTAGTTGAATTACCAAAGAGAGTCGCAAGCATAGGGGTCAAATGGGTGTGTAAAATAAAATTGAATCAACATAGTGAGATTGACAAGTATAAGGCTTGCTTAGTAGCAAAGGGATATGCGCAACAACACGTAATTGATTATGAAGAAGTATACGCACCAGTGGCAAGGCTAGACATTGTGCGTATGATCTTGGCTCTTGCTGCACAACGAAGTTGGATTATGTATCAGCTGGACGTGAAGTCCGCATTCTTACAAGGTGAACTTACAGAGGAGGTGTATATTGATCAACCAAAAGGATATGAAGTGAAGCATGAGACGACTAAGGTATACAAGCTCCAGAAAGCTTTATTACGGCCTTAAACAAGCACCGAGAGCTTGGTTTAGCAGAATTGAAGCGTACTTCAGAAACATGGGCTTTGATAAAGAAGCAATCGAACAAACCTTGTTCACCAAGATCAATCAACAAGGGAAGCATTTGATTGTTAGCCTATATGTGATAATTTGATTTATACTGGGAATGATGAAGCTATATTGAAAGAACTCAAATGATCAATGATGGAGGAATTTGAAATGTCTGATCTCGGGAGAATGCACTACTTCCTTGGCTTAGAGGTTATGCAGCTTGACAGTGGAATCTTCATCTCTCAAAAGAGATATGCTAAAGAGGTCTTGAAGAAGTTTGGGATGAATAAAAGCAACTTGGTCCTAAATCCTACTGTTCTTGGGGTTAAAATTGATAAAGATGATACATGCGTGACAATAAACAACTCTATGTTTAAGCAACTTGTTGGTAGCTTGATATATTTGACCACTACCAGGCCCCATATTTAAGCAACTTGTTGGTAGCTTGATATATTTGACCACTACCAGGCCGAATCTGATGTATGCAGTTAGTGTAGTCAATAGATATATGGCCAAGCCAACTGAGATGCACCTTATGGCAGCAAAGAGAATACTGAGGTATGTGCAGGGAACTATGTGTTTTGGGATTTTCTATCAAAGATCAGGCAATCAGGAGCTTGTGGGATACACAAACAGCGACTATGCCGGATGTATCGATGACAGGAAAAACACCTCAGGCCATGCCTTTATACTTAGCAATGCAGCGGTGGCATGGTCATCA